TTTTGTATCTAGATTGTTTTGTACAAAATGTTCTTGAGATTCATCCATGTTGCTTTTATCAGTAGTTTGTTCCTGTTTATTGCTGCCTAGTATTCCATATGAATTGTGAATCATTTGTTTTACTATGTTGATGGATATTTGTTGTGGGTTTTTTTTTCAGTCTTATCTGCCTTCCTGTGCCTCAGCAGAATTCTCCCCATCCTGTTGCCCTGCCCCAACCTTCAGTGTTACTGCAAGACACTTGACAAAAACCTGGAATCCTCAAAGGGATTGCTCCCAGGGATCCTGCCTCTCACATCCTACCTTTGAGCACTTACGGCCTTTGGGACAGAGTTAGAGAGTGGGTGCAGAAGACCCATTCTTTGACTGGAGCTCCATGAGTTTGTAATCTATCATTCCAACCCACACACGGCCATTCAACACTTGGCTGGTTTCCGGTTACCGGTTTACGGTGCATTCACTTAGTAAAAGTTACTTGATGTACCATACACTGTTCTGTAGGAAATGAAAGAAACTGTCATTCTCTTCTCTCTTAGGAAGCTCTCATTACCTTCTGGATTTAAGTTTATTAAAGTTTCCTTGTGCCCTGAGCTCTCTGATAAGCTTTTTAACTGATTTTTAACAATCTTCTCTGGCTTGTGCTTATTGTGAAGTGGAGCAAGTCTCTTGTAACTTTATAAACCCTGATAGGACTTTTTCTTATCTTACAAAAGTTTCAGAATACCTCCTCCAGGGTTTCTGGGCCCAATCCTCCGCTATTCAGCAGTTGTGACAATCATTTACTCAAAGACTGAAAATACTCCTCCTTTTCTCCCCTCTCCTCTTTACTTACTGTTCTTCCTCCCATCAGTGTAGTAAAAAGCCACCTGATCCCCTGGTGACTTTTCCCTCTGGCCGTCTCATTCCCTGAGCCCCTCACCCCAGTCATGCTTTCCTTTCTCGCTGCCTTGCACAGCTGGGTCTCCCTGTACCTTGAGAACAATTCTGACCTTTGGTAGGATATATAGCAGCAGAACTAACCTTGAAGGCCCTTGTTTTACTATTAAGCTCCATTCTTGAATCAGTACCTATCCTAGGTGTTTTGCTCAAACATTTTGCCTAGAACTTTCACTTGCATTACGTTGGCTGTTTGTTCAGGGTTTTCCCTACTGGGCTAAGGACAGGCTCTTCCTGAAACCTGTTTAATTCTAACCATCCTGTCTAACCTTGGCATCTGAATGCACTACCTCCCGGCGGGGCTGACCTTTTGGATTTGACACACTGCCCAGCTGAACACATAAAACTTGCTTATAATTCTCCAACTTCAGCTATCGTTATGGTCTCTGATGAGAAAAATATGTCACTTCCCCCTCCCTCCAATGACTAGAACTCCAACTCGAACTGCCTCCCGGCTCACTTACTGTCTCACCTGCGGCTGCTGGTCTAGTTACACTAATACACAACCTTACCATACAAATACAGGAGATACTAATTAAGGTATAAATACTAGGAGAATATATTATTTAAATTCATTAAGTGTTAAACTTTCTGCAAGCCATGAGTCTGTCTGGTCTGCGCCGGACGGTTATTCCCCGTATTTCACTGAACCCTCAGAGCCACTGGGCACCGCGCTTCTCATTTTCTCCAGGAGGCCCCACCCTCTGCGACGCTGGGGAGAGGACCCAGGTCGCCCGCCGGGCTGAAGCGCGGGGGCCCAGCCGGGGCCCACACGCCCGTTACCCAGCCCGAGTCCAGGGGCAGCGGGGGCGGGCACCGCGCAACAGCGCAGAGCAAACCCACACCAACCGGAGCCACACAGACCACAGGCGAAGCGAGCCCAAACAGGACCCCTTCCTGCTTACATTTTCCCCCTTCTACTGAACAGGAGGCTCTAAGCGAAAATAAATGCGACTTAATGATATTAAACTAGACGGGAGCCTATCCGCCCGCGCATCCCCCTCCCGGCGCCGCGACTGTCAGGGAGACCGGCGGCGCCGGGGCCAGAAGCCGGCTCAGCGGAGGGCTGAGGCAGACAACGCACGTTTCCTCCCTTTGCGGAAGGAAATGGCCTAACTGGGGGCGGGGCACGCTATTATTTTTACATTTTCCGCGGCCAGGGCGGCCAAGTTCTACCTGTAAATCTTGGGGGACCGGGGCAACCACCCCCGGCGCGCACACTCACGGTCGCTGCGCTTCCGGGTGTTGGGACTGCGGAGGAAGGACGCATGCGTCACGGGCGCGCGCCGGACGACTCGCCGCGGACGAGCGCGCTCTGCGCAGGCGCGGCCGCAGGTTGCCCCCGGGTCGGGCATCAGCTGATTTCATCCTCCCGCTGCCCCTCCCCCTGGCTCCG